CTGAGGGGAATTTATCAAAACTAGAGCAGAGAAAATCTGGAGCAGTTATCCATGGCAACCAATCAGCCTCTCTCTTTCATTTTCAAATCTTAACTGAACAAACTGAAGATAGAAGCTGATTGGTTGCCATGGATAACTGCTCCAGATTTTCTCTGCTCTAGTTTTGATAAATTCCCCTCACTTGTATATATAGATTACATATACTATATAAATGTGACACAATTGTATTGTATTTAAAAAATACAATTGTAAGATGTTTCTTAACAACACAGAAAACATATATTTCCTCTTGATTGTTTGTGTGTTTACAAAATCTAAAACATATTAAAATTACATAATAAAATTCATACATAGTTAGGAAAAAAAATCTAATGAAGACATATTGCCATAATACTATGATCTACTAAAATCACTTGGGAAAACATAGTAGTGCAAATGAGCCCTTGGAAAAATTAGAAATAAGACTAGTACTTACTTAATACCATTGTACAAATCACAGTGTCAGTAGTTAAAATAATGAACACTTATAGTAGTTATTCAGAATGTTTCCATGAAACAAATGATTTATTTTGTTATATAACTGGTTGTGTGTGTTGAAGTTAGATAATCAGATCTTTTATAACATTCTTAAATGCCACAATGCACACTTAGTTCCTCAGTTTGGGCATACATTGAAGATGCAGTTGCAGAGGTAATCGGTATGTTGTCTTTAGAGTTTTTTTGTGCTAATTGAATAATACCTGCCTAAATCTACATATGAATGGAGCCAATAGCAAGCAATCTGGGAAATATATGGATATATGGTAATCACATTCTACAAATAAAAGAATAAGTAACTCGTTTGATTAGTTGGCTGGACAGCACTGAGTTCCAAATGACCAGTCACAGCTGTTTCGCGTAAAGGGTGAAGGCTGCTGTCATGGACTAAGAAATGTCATGAGGAACATCCATTAAACATGACTGTTCTCAGAGGTGAAATTTACATGACTTTACTACTTATATTACAAAGTCTTTATCATAATGTTGGATCATTAACACTGCCATGTAGTTATGGCAGGCATACTGTATTAGCAGAAGTATGTATAGTGGCATTATTATTTCTTATACTTTTTGAGTGTTGGTAGTAGAAGTGATACTGTTCCTTCTTTGTTGCTGTAGCAGCAGTACTATTAGTAGTTGTAGTATGGTAAGAATTAGCACCTATCAGGACAGATGTGACGTTAACAGTATGGTAGCTGCTATTGCTGACTTGTTTATGTAAAGTGTATGCCCCAAAGCTGTCAGCCTGATCCAGGCTCAACTACCTATTGAGTGGCTAACCCAGAAAAAGCATGTAACCAGTAAAGTCTGAACAGTTGTTATCCCTGCATCCCTGCATGAAACTTACACACTTCACTTTAAACTCCCAAAGGAATACAACCTAGTAACAAAATCTGTAATTTGTTCTCATCATTTTAGGACAAACTAAACTGTACCTGAGGTCAGAAAAATAAATTGTTAAATCTTAACTGGTATAGCGTAGCAGACACCTACAGGTTTTTGCATTCCTAGTCAGATTTCTTATAGCAGGCCAGAATTCAGGGGAGATGCGACATGCAAATTGGTCCTGCCTCCCACACTTCTTTATTGGCTAGTGCAGATGTCAATAGCACAGTGCAGGAGACAGGGAATATATGCCTGCTACATCATACCTGAAAAGATTTATTAACTTCTGTCTGACTTGAGATTTGTTGTTAGGTAAGATACAAAGGGGTTTCTGACCATCTTTTAAAGGGAAACCAGAATGGTTTTGTGTCAATTTTTACTCTTTACAAAATGTATTCATTTTTATAGTGATTTTTAAAACACTATTTATATCAAATCTTTTATTTTCAAATAAACATTTAATACAGTGTGCACCAATCACACAGGATTTACACAGTATTTTAAGCTTTCTAAAAATCTAGTTGCTTTCAGACATACTAATGAAAAGTCTGTACATAGCTATACAGAGCAGGAAAGCAGGGGCACAAAGTAGATGTGAGTTACTCCTCCGGCTTATTAATTCATGTGTAATTTGTACAGTTCATAAAAAAGGTGAGAATCCCACACTCACCCCAAACTATTAAAGCCCATCTCTGGGATAAAGTTAACCTTCCTTCCACCCCCCTCTAACTAAAGAAACAAAACCTTAATGGCCTTATTGCTGTAAAGCAGCAATGCTTTACATGATGCTCTTGTTCTGGGCCTTCTCTTCTCTTGTGTTTACTTCTGGTGGGGTCCTTTTTTGGGCGTTCACATCACTGTCTGTGTGACATGAACACTTCCTATTGCCTGTCAAGTGGAAAGGTCCTCTCGGAATCCAAAAAAGGAGTGGCGACATCACAGGGAGACCGTTCGAGACTGGCCAGTGAGGACCATCTGCAACACTGGTTTAGTGGTGTCCTACACCAAGAAACACCAGTAGCAAGGGACTTAGATGGTGGACTTAGGTGAGTATAACTTGCTTCACCAGGTGTCAGGATACCGTGCACAGGTGCCCCACACCGTGTGCAGGTATCTATATGGGAGGACCAAAATAGTCGATCACACCAGACAAGACTATGAACTTATAGTTTATTACACATACAAAATCATATAAACGCCATCATCCCCACCAACACCCACAAGCAACATAAATTAGCCAAACTAAAGGTATAACAGAATAACACACAGAGTACAGCAGGGCAAGTCAACCAGTGGAGCAGGGCCACAGGAGGGAAGGAGTCAGGGTCCAAAGAGGCAACAGGACTCAGGTTAGGGCGACAATACTGTGGCAAAATCCCCACTACAGGGAGGGATTAAATACCCTCCCAGGTAACCCCACATGGTGCTTAATTGCAGAGGTGCCTCCAGGTGAGCCCTGGAGCTGCAGGTCCTTGTTCCAGCACCACAGCGCCTCCTGCAGGTGCTCAAGTCCCAGACGGCCACTGACTGCCCAGAGACACCTGCAGGTAAGCACTGGAACTGCAGGATCTGCTCCAGCTCCACGGTGCCACCTAGAGGTGTCCTGGTCCCTGACACCAGGTAAGAACAAATAAAACCTTACATGTTGGGCTAAGGGGGTGTAGTAGGTTGGGGGAATCATACTTTGCCTGCAGTGGGGCTTTAGGTGCTTTGTCAAATCTTCAGTTTCCACATATATTGGATTAAATTCACATAGCTGAGAGCTATTTCATATGTCTATACACATTCTCCAGGAAATGGAATGATTTCCTCTGCACGGTCGAACAAAAATCTTGAAGTTTTAATCTTACTCTAAGATGCGAAGAGGGCAAAAAGATTGAGCAAGAAGATTTTTCTTCTTTGCTCTATGTGTGTCTTTGCATCTTAGCTCTCTCTTTTTTTGCCAAGTAGTAAGTTTAACCTAGTAAAGGAGCGCGCAGTCCTACCACCTGGCTGGAAATAATAAATATAAAACATCTTAATGCAATATTTCCTTTTTACCTGATTGAAAAATACAATTTTTTTAATTGAATTTTCTAGTTCTAAACATAATAAGTACATAAATATAATCTATAAAAAAACAATAAACTTAATTATTAGTGATCAGTCTCTGAAAAGATGTGTTGCAGTGTTTATTTAAAGTGTTTTGGTTAGAGTAGAGAAGTATTAAAACCGATGTCAAGTTATTTTTGCCATTTGTGTACCATTGGGGAAATTTCCCTTTACTTTCTGTTCCACAGATGCACCAGGAAATTAGGGAAAAGTAAGGGCATTCCCCTTTTTGACAGTAGTCCGCAGAACTAGGGATGCACAGGTACCAAGTACCATACTTGCTACAAAGACAAGTACAAGTACAGATACTTTTCCAGCTCCAAGACTAGACTAGAGAAAAAACTCAAAAGTTAGGAGGCAGCCGTCATTTGTAAGGAGCATTGGCTATGGGGCTCCTGGGATTTGTGCATCCCTGTTTTAATGTATGATTTGTTATATATATATATATATATATTGGGGATGCACCGATACCAGACCAAGTACAAGTACCAATATTTGTCCAAGTACTCACAGATACAATTACTGATACATTTTTGTTTCTTGTCATGTGACAATTTTCTAAAACAGTGCAGACTAATGATTTCAGGACAGTGGAGGAGCGCCACGGCCCAGTCCCAGCTGCAACTGCTGAAACCCTGGTTGTTCTCGTGAAAATTCCAAGTATCTGCACTGGTATCTGAACTGGTATCTGTGCATCCCTACCCAGAACTAGTGTCCC